TGTCTTGATTTTAGTTTCATCATAATGGCTAAACAAATAAATAGCATCATTCTGCAGATTTCTTATTAATTTACATTCGTACATATATCAGGTGATTCAATTAACATTCGCTATGTTGCTTTTATGATTATAATCAAAGGCAACCATTATGTAGTCGGCAAATAAGTTTTCTTCTATGAGCTGAATCATTGATAATATTATCTGCTGCTCTTATGCAGGGGCGGAGGGTCCTGGGGGGACCTGGACCTTCCCAGTTTTTTTACAATGGTTTTTTTTTTTTTAAACCACCATTTCTGCAAGATCAGTGCATGTTACTGTGTGTGTATGTGAATTATCTATAAATTTCCTTAAGCTATGGTGCAAGAAAGACCTGGAGGATTTTAGGGATGCAGCCAGCCACCGCCATTCTACATCATTCTCCTCCACCACCATTGAAGAATTATCTAGAATGTAGTTGAAATTATATGCACCAATATTCTAGAATTAAGGAAAGGAGGAAACCACCGACTTTGTTACTTATATATGTGTGTGTGTGTGTATTGCTGTATGTAATCTGTGTCTGAGAAGGTGCAGAGAATTGGAGAGAGTGTGCAAGAGAGAGAAACAGAGAGAAGGCAGTGAAATATATGCTATTGTAGGTCTAGCAATGAAGTGTGAGAGTGGTCTCAAATAAGTGTGATTGGAAGTGTCCAAGTGTATAATATTTTTGTCTTAATAAAATTATCTTTCTTGGGTTAAAACTCAACAGTATGATCCTATAATGGGTGATGAAATTGGAACTGGTTATGACTATTCCTCATTTCTCTCTCGGCTCTCTTTGCTCTTCTTCTCTCTTGTCTTTTAAATTGTGAGTAGTGATTGTTGTTGTTTGACAAATTGAGTTTTTATTTATTTTTTTATTTTTTTGTGGTGGCCAGAAATGATAGAATGTAGTTAAACGTTTCTTAATTTTTTTTGTTAATAGGTATTAAAAAAAAATTTCGGGGGCATGGCCCCTCACCCCTAAATCTCTGGGACCTTCCTACTCCAACGGGCTGGCTCCGCCCCTGCTCTTATGGTTCTAATTTCTTTATATCTTTCTATTAAGTGAAATAAAGATATACTAACGTCATTTTTGTTTCTTAAACAAAAAATAAAATCAGCAATTATCTTCCACAATCTAAGATTTCTAATGCTTCAGCTTTCTTTAGTCATCTTCTTGTGGGTGGGAAGTTAATATTGCCTTTTTAACTAATAATGGACATACATCTAAGATAGGTGAAGTTATTGGCTTTGAAGTGCCATTTAATTATTATTTTTATTTCTTTATTTATTTCGTTAACGACACTTTCATAGTTCATGTTACTAAATTCATTGCATTGCTTTGCCTTGTGGTTAAACGTAGTGATGAGGTGTGCCGTTCACTGCCATATTATTTATCTTATGTAAATAACGGTCTACCAATTGGTTTTACTATGCAACCAATTCACTAGCTTGATTTTTGAATTAACCAATGTGTACTAGTCGGAAATGAATCTATTTTGTGCCTCTTTAGTGTTAATTTGACTTAGGTGGTCTTAATGAACAGATAAATGCTTAATTTATATCTTCAGGAACCAGTTCCTCTGAAACTTATTAAAGAGTAACGCCATAAGTAGTTCCACACGTGATTAAATATAGTTAATCTTGTTTATTTGTTATCTAAGGCATTCAACTTCCTCTTCTTGAGAAACTATACCTTGATAATAACAGGTTATCGGTTTTGCTACCTTTAGATTTGTAACTTGACGATGAGTTAATTGCTCATTCATTCTTGCTGCGCTTTGGTTTATTGCCATTTGTTTGATGAGAGTGCTATGATTTTTTATTTTTATTTTTCCCTCGGTTTACTTGGAATTTAGCTTGGTGTTTGGTGCGATTTATCTTCTGCTCATGCTTTTTATTTATTTTTAGCACGAGTCATTTTGATCAAATGCTCATTTTCATATGTTGCATCCATATGAATATTCTTTATCGTAATTACATTTAATTATGAATTTGATATTTGAGTTAAATTTGGTTACATACTGTGTGTTGGTGGTATTCACGTCTCTCTTCTTCACAGATACTTAGTTGAATGCCGATGTTGATACCATGTCTCCGTTTGAGCATGGGGAGGTTTTCGTTCTCGATGATAGCGGAAAGGTTTCCTTATCCTTCTCTTCATTTATTCACAATATCATAGCTTTTTGGTTTCAGTTGTTTTAATAATCTGAAGAATGTTGCAAGAACCAAGTTTAATCTGAAAATTAATCCTCCATCAAATGGTTATACATCTATATTTTGTCATTCAACCTTTCAACTTCATTTGTCCAAATTCCATCTCATCCTCTCAGTCCAATATAGAGGTGTTTGATGGTGCTTTTATCTTTTCTTTAATTTGAAGCATTTGATCATTCTATTTACAATGACTTTAATAATTCTGTTTCCAAAATAGTGTTCTTATAGAAATGCTTGCAATGCACTTATTATTTAATAGCTTTTGCATTTGGTTTTTAAGCATTTAGATGGTGTTTTATCAGTCATCGTCTCATGATCATAAGATTGGCTTATTGGTGTGGTAAATCCAACCAAAGGTAATGGGCATGTCCTTATACAATGATGAAGGCTGTCAACTGATACATTCAAAAGTGAGCCGTCGAGTATAGGTGAGTTAAGAATTTGGAAAAGTGAGAGACTGGATTGCATCCATAGAATATTGCAGTATTCATTAGTTGGCTTCTAGAAAACCTCAATTACTTATAAATGTTTCTTGGACTTTAGATGATCCAAGATTATCTTTGGAAAAAATATGAAGTTTTGCATGATATGATATCAACTCCGGTGTGGTCTCTAATTGTAAAGTTTGTAAAACTGATGGTTAATATTTAGATGATGTAAAATAATTTGTCCTTTTACCAAAAATTCTTTCTAAAATTATAACGGTAATCGTGCAATGCACGATCTCCACTAGTTTTATAAAATAGGACTCTCAAATTTTCATTAAATTTGAAATGGGGAAATTTTTGTAATTTTAAAAAAGTAAGGAGTGATTTATATAATTTGCGTTAAATTTTAAGTTTTTATAATTCTTTATTTAAAAGGTAATTATTATTTTATTGTCAAAAATAAATATTCTAAGGGCGAATTAGAAATTAAAAAAATTACAATGACACTATTTCTTTTCAAAATTCAAAAGGTTAAAATAACAAATATTCACAAATCATGCAATCGTTAATGTTGACGTCCATTTTGGCATTTACACGTAGTAGGATGGCAGAAAGTTGTTGACCAATTTAAAAAAAAACAAAAACAAATATTTTATTTGTCTCTTTTCACGATTTTGTTCCAAGTACCCAAAATAGAATGAAACGTTGAACATTTGGAATAGCTTAATCCTTTGAATAATAATACCTGAAAAATATTAGTCAATTCGTCGAGGTACAATCTTTAGACTTTTTTTTGTTAAAAACTTAATGCCCACTTGCTACAATGTAGTTGGTTGCTTAACAACCCTCCGGTTCATTTACTGAATTTACGTGTTAAAGTGGTTGACAAACATGAATTCGTTAAATGTTGTTAGGTCCCTGTTTGATACCAATTTTCTTCTCATTTTCTTTTTCATTTTTTTTTTACTTTCTTCATTTCAACTATACATTTTATCAATAAAATAATATTACATATAAACAAAAAAATTCTCATTCCTTTTTAACCACATATTCTTCCATCAATCATTATTCCAGAATTTATTTTTTCTCAAACATGGGTGTCAAACACATCCCTAGGTGTAGAAATTTTTACGCTATTGGTGGTTTTGTTTTGAACACGTTTCAATTTTACTCGTCAGGTAAATCCCTCATCATATCCTTTTTTCGCTCTAAGCCGATTATCGAACGACGAGCCTTGTCAAGGTTGTGCCTTTGGAACCCACATCAGAGGCTAAAGTGCGATGTTGCAACCATTGTTGGTGGCACACTATACAAATGTGTCCCTTGGTCTACCAGGCATATTGGACGATTGGTATTTGGTAGACCGTTGGTTGTGCTACCATATGTGATGTACATGAGGATTTCACGATGGAATCACATGTAAATTAGGCGCTTGTTCGATTATTCTTTGAGCCTAAACGTGCAAGATGGGCATTGTTCGTGTCTCCAATTATTAAACTAAGTCATGATGACATACATTTTCGGCCAATTGTGCTCACTTCTAGATCGTGCTCCAATAATAGCTTTTATGTTCGATTCCCACAAATGACGTCAATAAAATTATTTCGTCACGATTCTTCAACTGGTGTCAACCACTTCCGCAACCTGGTTGCATGCAAAAAAGGGTTCAAGGATCTCCTATTTGACGTTCAGCATGAGATAAAATGTATTGACTATAGAGATGAAATGATAAATGCCAAAGAGTTGTAAGTAAGAATTGGTGAAGAGTTCCTTCACCCTTTGGGATGTATTCATAGCAACTCAATTTTTGTCAACGTGCCAAGTGATTTTTATTTGCTTACCAATTGATTTTGTCCACGTGCAATACATTTTTTGTCTAAGATGCAGTCGCTTTGTGTCCACATGCTAGACAACTTTAATCCGCGTGATTATCAAAATTTGAGAGCCTTAAGAAACACGATCCCTCTTTCCAAGAATCTTGGTGAATGGGATGCATAACTTCCATTGAATTATCTAGCGAGTCCACAATAGAGATCCAAATACAAGGTGCAAAATATCGAACTTTGTTAAAATAATTGCCTTTATATATGTCGTGGTCGACCACTCATGGGATAGTCGACTGACCGAGCCCTCATGACACTGGTCAATCGATTGCCCTCAAGTTGTGACGTTTGTCGGGTGTGTTCAGATTGGAACCCTTTTTATTTTTTACAGTATTATATAGAATTTTATATTAACAAAAATCAAATACTTTTAAGAATAATTTGATTAGATTTCAGAAACTTTGATTGAAAATTGCACATAGTCGTGTTGTGTCGTTCAACTAAAATATATCTCAAATCATATTTTTCTTAGCTTAGAAGCACCCAAAAGAAGTCAAAATTGCGTTTTTGGTGACTTTTCTCAACCCTAACTGTGATAATTTTTTTCTAAAACGCTGAATATTTATAAAAACAATTATATTTTTATTCAAACATTCTGTACCTTGCTATTTTCAGAGAGTAATAAATATTTGGACGACTCGTTTCGCGTTCACCTATAAACAAGCTGAAAGTTCCGCAAGTGTCAGTTCATTATCAACATTCAGCTCTAACAATCAGAAAATCAATAATCGCTGTTTCTCCCGCTAAAGATTTCCCCCAAATAATTTTACGAGCTTTTGAGGTAAATTTTTTGTTTCAGTTATTATTTTGCTTTTATCACTGTTCAGCTTCTTCGATATGTTGATTACAATTGCTTGTAGATTGATACACCCTTTGAAGAAACAGGGCAAAAAACCAGCTGAAATAATTCTATAAAGTTAGTGATAACTAGGTTAATAGATTAATAGAATGATACTACTTGATGATTCAATCTTTTAATGTTTTTCTTTTATGGTATTTGTCAAATATTCTGCCTTGTCAATTGCTAATATTCTTTTCCCCTGTTCAGGCTTAATAGAAATTGAAAAACTGGATAATTTTTAGAATTAACTTCTATGAAACGACTCTTAGGTTGGGATCGTGTTTGTTCAATTATTATTCATTGATCTTTTTGTATGATCTTTCTATTCGTGCTTAGAAACAAACTTGATTCTTGTGAATTATGATTATGCGTGAAAAAGAAATATGAAATGCTTTGTCTGTTTTGGCAGGCTGTCTTAGTGTTGTTCCATTGAAGTGCTATTTCTGCAGTTCAAACGGAGAGGAGCCACTGGTAGATTCTATGGTCATGACTTGCTTTTCTTTCTTATGTAACAGAAAATTGGAGGCCGCTCCTAAACATTCAGTCGAGCTTGATGGTAAATTTCTAAACTTCTGTGCACAAATGCAATATTAAAATTGTGTAATAGATAAAAATCACTTTTTTAAATTATATATCATTTCTAGGCTTCTAGCTTCCTTAGGTTGTGCATGGATAGGCTGTTCACGAGCTTTTTTCTCTCGACCTGTTTTTGTTATGCATATCTCAATGATAGAAAAGTTGAATATTGAACAGAGCTCGCTGGATTCAAAAATGTTAATCTTTACTCATACAAGGAGCTGAGAATTGCGACCAATGGTTTTAGTGATATCAATAAAATTGGGGAGGGAGGATATGGTTCTGTTTATAAGGTAAAAAAGGGCTCTCTGTCACTTCTGTCCCATTATGCTATGATTGGAGCTTGACTATTTTCCTTTTTAAACTAAAATGTCGTGTTTCAAAAGGGAAAACTTAAGAATGGAAGGATGGCTGCCATGAAGGTTCTCTCTTCTGAATCAAGACAAGGAGTAAAAGAGTTTTTGACAGAGATTCAAGTGATATCAGATATAGAGCATGAAAATTTAGTTAAGCTCTATGGCTGTTGTGTGCAAGCCAATCAACGGATTCTTGTTTATAGCTACCAAGAGAATAACAGCCTGGCACAAACGCTTCTTGGTATGGCTGCTTTCCTAGTTTTCATCTCAAGTTATCTGGTTCGTAACATATAGTTGTCTGAAATTTAGTTTCTGATCGGACCACCAAGGAGTTTGGCTGTGTATTTTTTCTAGTTACAATTCAAAATTTCATTCTATAGTGTATATGGAATTTGTATGGACTCTTTTTTGAAAAGAAATGAACCTGATGTTCTTAAACATTCTACGTAGGCGGAGGTCACAGCAGTATCCAGTTTAGCTGGCAAACACGGGTTAAAATTTGCATTGGAGTTGCAAGAGGACTTGCCTACCTTCATATGGATGTGAGACCGCATGTTGTCCACCGGGATATTAAAGCAAGTAATATTCTTCTCGACAAAGATTTGACCCCTAAAATTTCAGATTTCGGTATGGCAAAACTCATCCCTCCCAACATGACTCATGTCAGTACACGGGTGGCCGGAACCATGTAAGTTGCAATATATACTGGAGATGTGCTTTTGAACGCACTCATAGCTTCTACCATCTTGTGAAGTTCCTTGAATGTGTGATTTAGTGTATGCTTAGCTAAGCTTAAAATGTTTGCTTATAAGTAGACAAGTAAGTTTTAAAGTAATCAATCAAAGTTGGAAATAAATAAGAGTTTCTTTTGCTTGGAAGTGACTTTTACTAATTTTTAAGCTTAGCCAAACTTGATCTTAGAAACGTTGCTGACTGCTGGTTGAATGATTAGCCAATGGAGGCTAGATTAATCAGTGGATTTCAGATTTGAAATCGTATGCCTTCGAAGATTGAACTTTTTGTTGCTTCTAGTCGGTTACTTTTATTCATTTCAGGATATTATGATTCAATAGGTACTGTTTTTAACATCTGTCTCTGCTTCCTTTTTTCATTTACGGAAATAAAGTTATTAACTCATAATTCTATCTGTGTCTAATGCTGCAGAGGTTATTTGGCACCAGAATATGCGATAGGAGGTCAGTTGACGCGTAAGGCAGATGTTTACAGTTACGGTGTTCTTCTTATTGAAATTGTCAGCGGGAGATGTAACACAAACACAAGATTACCTGCTGATGAACAGTATATTCTTGAAAGGGTAAATTCTTCGGAACTTAGTGATTTGTTTATCTTTTCTATCGTACGATAACTGAATATGGTAAATACGATTTAGCGAGTTCTTTCAGAAAGCTTTTTCTAGGTTACTTGGGAATCATAAATAGTATGCAGTGGTATCTTGTTTCTGTTGGTTTTGAGACTGATTAACTTCTTTTTGCCAAAATAATTTTATAAGTTACTTTTTTCACTAGCACAAGTCTTGACTTGCTTTCTAGAAAGTAACTCTCTTAAGCTTAGCCAAAAATGTCTTAGGATATTTTTTATGGCCAACCCCGAATATTTTTTTCTTTCAGATGCATGATTGTTAAAATTTTGGTGCAGACATGGCAACTTTACGAGAGAAAGGAATTGGTGGCACTTGTAGACGCATCGCTAAATGGTGACTTTGATGCTGAACAGGCTTGCAGATTCTTAAAGATCGGTCTTCTCTGCACGCAAGAATCTCCAAAGCTTCGACCTTCTATGTCGACTGTTGTTCAAATGCTAACCGGTGAGAAGGATGCCGATGAAAATATGATTAGCCAGCCGGGCTTAATCTCTGACTTCATGGACCTGAAAGTTCGTAGTGCCCCAGATACCAAGCCTGATATCAATAGTAAGTCTGCCTACACATCATATGGCTCTGATAATTTGAAGAGTTCAACACTGTCCTTGGGGACTTCTTCTCAGGCCACCACCACATTTGCTTCGGTACACGATGGAACTGTCTAAACTAAAAGTTTTGCCGTGGAGAGAGAGATTTATCGATTTTATTTGCATCATCTTATTTGTTTTCCTGTACATGTTAGCTTTATGTAAATTGTTCTACTCAATGCTGTTTTTTTCCGTCTCTTTAGGTTTTTAGTATGTATTCATAATTGTTCATTATAAAGATTTTCAGGAAATGGATGTTTTTGTAAATACAGATACTTTATCAATTGAAAAGAAGTTAGTTTTCTTATGTCTCCATTTCTCGAGTTTGCAAATTATTTTGAACTAGTTCAATTATTACACTGACTAAAGGAAACAAAAAGAGTTAATACATTTTAGGTTTCAGCACTTTTGTACGTTGTATATTTATTTCATATTTTTACAGTATAGAATTTACCCTTTAATAGTACTCGGTGAAATTTGGGGATGGTTTGCTCGTACAAGAAATTTACCCTTCAAGTCGAATGAAATTTGATTGATTAATTATTCTCGAATGGCACTTGCATGTGTAAGATTTTCGATTGGTGTAGCGATGGTCAATAAATTGTTTATTTTTAAATTATTATTAATGGTTATATAAACCCCATATTTTTTATCGATTACACTGCTTGATTGCACTAAAGATTTTCGATCTTTGCTGTCTTTTTAACCCTCATTTTTTTTGTATAACAGCCCTTGTTTGGTTTCCATTATTTTCAAAATATATTTCTCTCTCTTATTTTCAATTATATATTTTTCAATAAAATAATATTACGCTCAAATCCAAAAAACTTTCTTATTTTTTAACCACGCATTCTTCATCAAAATACTATTTCAAAATACATTTTATTTATGCTTTATTTGGTTTAAATAAAAATTAATTTTTAATATATTTTGATAAAAGTTGATGGAATGTATAATCGAAAAGTTGTGATGCGAACATATGTAACAATTGAAGTTAAGAAACCCACGACGGATTAGATCAAACCCAATAAAGTGAAGAATAAACGTTTGAAAAGCTCAACCCAAAAAAATATTGAACAAAAGAACCAAGATACTCGCCAACAATATCTTGACCATGTGATCACAAAATTCATATTTATACAGAATCCCTAGAACCTAATTAAAAACGGAATTAAGTCTTAAAAGATATCATATAAGAGTTTCAACTAAAATATAAGTCTAGGCGAAATTTGAAAAAACGCATCTTAATCTTGCACTATGCGACCGCATAGGTTTATTGCATACGATTGCATAGGTCAATCTTGTGCCCTCACTTTGGTCGTTGTATGGATGCATGCGATCGCATGCCTTGGAATACCCTCCCCCTTCAAAATGATTCATCCTCGAATCTCCACTTACATCAAACAAAGAAAGATAAGATACAGTGAAAGTATCAGAAATGTTATACTTGGAAAATTCAACTTATAGGCATTGTCATTGATCTTTTCAAGCACTTTGAACAATCCATCTCCTCTCAGCTGCAACTTTGACTTCCTTTAAGCCAGAAAGCGTTCATTTCTCATATGCACTCAAACCTAATCTCCGGGTTTAAATGTAACACTCTTTCGTCCCTTATTTGCTTGAGAAGTATAATGCTCATTTTTCTTCTCAATCTGACATCGTACCTTCTCATGAAGAGATCTTACCAATTTGGCCTTCTTCTTTCCATCTAAACTACATTTTTCATCAACGAGTAAATGAATTAAATCCAAAAGTGTTAGTAGATTAAAACCATAAACAATTTCAAATGTAGTATAAAAAGTATTAGAATGTATAACCATATGAATGGCAAGCAATCCTCCCAACTCTTCAAGTTCTTATTGACTATAGTGTGCAATAATTGTATCATAGTCATGTTAACAACTTCAATTTGCCCCATCCATTTGTGGGTGACAAGTTGTAGAAAATAATAGCTTAGTTCATAACTTATTCCACAAAATCTTCCAAAAATGACTAAGGAACTTAACATTTATATCCGATACAATGCTCCTAGATGTCTCGTTAAACTCCATTCACCTTACATGCCTCTTGTTTACTTTTCCTTTACCTTTTAAATGTTTCAAGTACTCATGATTGATGTGATTCACGAACTCCTTTGGTCATAGGTAGTGTTGTTATGTCTCCAAAGCTCGAACAAGTACATACAATTCATTGTTATATGCAGGATAGTTGAGAGATGTTCCACTTAACTTTTTACTTGAGTAAACTATTGGCCTTCATTTTCCACGTCAAAACAGTGGAATTCCAATATACACTTTTAAAAGTTAACATAAAGTTGTTCTTATCTTAAAACCACAAGTATACATCTTAAATGTCATATATGCTCATTTAAAGTCTTACTATATGCCAAGATACCATCGAAGTACAATATTACGAATTTACCTATATATGCATGCAAGATATGATTCATTTATCTCATAAACGTGCTAGGTGTATAAGTAAGTCTAAATGACATGACTGATCACTCATTTAAACAATACTTAGTTTTAAAAATAATTTTTCATTCAGCCCTCTCTCTTTCTCATTCTAATTTAATGATATCCACTTTTAAGATCTATTTTACTAAACATGCGCAACATATCATCTAACCTATATGATGATGATATTTTACTGTCATATTTTTTTATCGCTCAACGGTCTATGTACATCCTCCGAGTCCCATCTTTCGTTGGCACAAATAGCACGGCACGACACATAGACTCATACTTTCCCTCACATACTCTTTACTCATCAATTCTTCCACTTTCCCTTAAAGTTCTTTGGTTCCTCAAGATTACTCTGATAAGCTGACCTGTTTGAAATTACAACTTCTAGTACGAAATCAATTTAATGTTCAATGCCTCGAATGGATAGTAACCACTTGGCATGTCCTCCGAGAAACAAATCTTTGAATTTATGCAACAAAAAAGTGGCCAAATTAGGGAGGAGTGTTTTAGGTTCCTCAAAGTTGAGGAGTGATTCCTTATAAACCAACAAGATCATATGTTATCTTCGAATTCCTGCAATGAAAAATTAGCTAAATTAAGAAAGGGTATATTATATACCACAAAATAGAGGAATGACTCCTTATAAACCAACAAGATCATATGTTGATTCTCAACTGCTACCATCATCAACTCATTCTCTTTTGTAAAGAAAATTGCATTCGACTTTCTGTCCACTCAAAATACTCTTTTTCTTTACTTCCTTGTGGCTCTACTCTTTTTCTCACAATTAGTTACCTCACTTTTTTCTCTCTTGCCTTTTTGTCGTGAAAGATCAACACCACTTTCTTTTTCTCTCATTTTTTTCTTTTTCACTTTTCATCTTGATTTGATCTTCATAAACTTGTACTAGTGTTAACGACGCAAAAGTAATAGATTTCCCATCTTTAGTAAAGCTTCATTCATTTTCATACCCATCATGCATCACCTTCATATCATATTGCCATGGCCTCCCGAACAAAATATGTTCGACATGCATATGAACTACACCACACATCATGTCATCATGATACCTCCCAATTGAAAAACTCACCAACACTCACATATTCACCTTAACCTTTTCACATTCATTCAATTATTGCAATTCGTAAGGCCACAATGTTTTAGCATATTTAATCTCAATTACTCAACAAGTGTAGTACTAGGCACATTGGTATAACTACCCCCATCAATAATCATACTACATACCTTGTTGTTAACGTGACATCTCGTGTAAAATATGTTCTCCCTTTGTTGCTTCAAGTCATCCACTTTGATTTGAACACTAAGAACTCGCCTTATAACCAACATCTCTCCCACTGTATACTCAACTTTCTCACCGTCACTAGCATCCTCCAATTTCAGCATGTCATCATAATCACCCTCACTATCACTCACCATCCTCCATTGTCTCGCAAGATCCTCTCCCAAGCACCTAAAGCATTTGATATCCCGATGCCCAGGGGGTTGAAGATCAGCTTTGGGTGTAGATTTGCTAGCAATTTCCTCTTTTCCTTTCGGTAGCTCAGATATATTCTTTAAGACAGCCACATCACCTCTATTGTTATCCCACTTCGATTTCTAAGAAAAGTTCGAACTCAATGGATATCTAGCTACTCCCTTCATCTTTAGCTGTCTCTCCACCTTTATAGTTACATGTAGTATGTTCTCCAACTCCATATAATGTCATAGTTTTACCACATTAGCTACCTCCCTATTTAAACCATTCAAAAATCGGGTCACCGTGGCCTCATGATCTTCCTCAACATTCGCTCTAATTATAGAAATCTCCATCTTTTTGTGATAATCATCCACACTCCTAAATCCTTGATAAAGACTTTGTAATTTTTTATAAAGATCTCTATAGTAATGATTATTAACGAACCTCTTTCCCATGATAGCATTCAATTCTTCCCATGTTGCAATAGGCCTCTCATGATTCCTCATCCTAGATGTTACTAGTTGATCTTACCAAATGATAGCATAATCAGTAAACTCAATGACGGTAAGTTTTACCTTTTTCTCCTTCGAGTAGTTGTGGTAGTCAAATATGAGCTCTATCTTCTTATCCCACTCCAAATATGCCTCTAGATCGCTACTTCCTTTGAATGAAAGAATTGTCATTTAAATATTGTCCATATTTTTATCAACTCCATCTCCAACATAATCTCTAACATTCGTGTCATGCTTATCTCATTATTCCTCATCCTCCATATTTCGGCCTCCACTAATGAATTTTCATCAATCACACTACCCGTTTCATTTTCACTACAAGTATCCACTCTAGGATCCTGCCTACCTTACCTCCTTGTGTTAGCAACTTCCCTAGGTTTTTCCCTACGCAAGTTAGCAAGTAAAGTGTCTTGCCTTTCCATCCACGCCTCTTGCATATCCATTCTATCTCCCATATCACCACACATTATTTCAAATCGTTGTATCATCTACTACGTCATGATGACTTGACTATTCTTCCCACTTGAAGTAGAATTGTCTCTGATGGACATTCTAAATCTAGAATAATAGATGCCTTACATGTCACACTCATGTATCACTTAATTTAGGTTATTTCCTCTATTAGTCTCATCACTCTGCCTTTTTCTACTAAATGCTTTCTTACAAGTGCTTCAAATAATTAATTCGATCTCAAGAAAAAAAATCAATCATTGTGAGTTCAAACAAAGAATTGAGCAAGAAAAGTGACTCTAGATTGATTCAAGAAGTAAGAATTTGAATTTTGAATGGAAACGTTAAAGATAAATTCAAGAAAGTGTTTCTTGAATTTGAACTTGACACCCTTTTTTTGTAAATTTTTTTTCTAAATGCGCAAGAATTGAACAAAAAATCCAAAACTTCGAAAAGGAACTGATTTGGGCACTAATTTATATCACAAACAACTTTTCAATCTATTTGGTAATTTAATTGAATTGAATTACTTAAAAGATGAAGCCTCAAAACAAAACAGATAAGGAATTATATAATATAACTTTGATTTTTGGAACCTAAGCTATGATAACAATTGATGCAAACTCACGTAACAATTGAAACTACGAAACCCACGACAAATCAGATCAAACCCAAAAAAGTCAAGAATCGACGTTTGAAAAACCCAACTCAATAAATTATCGAACCAAAAAATCAGGACAATCACAAGAAATATTTTGAACGCCACAGAAATTAAATTTTTGATAAGTTCGAAATTAATTCAATGAAGAACGAGTTGAAAGAAATATATCTCGCAATAATATCTCTTAAATTGTGTGTTTTTACAATGAAAAGAATAATCATATTTACATGAAATCCCTAAAACCTAATTAAAAAGGAATTAAACCTCAAAAAATATCATACAAGAGTTTTAACTAAAATAGAAATCTAGACGAAATTTGAAAAAACGCGTCCCAGTTTTACACTATGCGGTCGTATAGGTTTATTGTATACGGTTGCATAGGCCAGTCTTCCGCCCTCACTTTGGTCGCGGTTTGGAATAATATGCGGTCACATAGTTAACCTTCACAGTTTCATTGTCCCTTGCTTGAATCAAGTTGATCCATCTTGTTCCGTTTTCAAGCCAAATATGAAACTTGTCATTTGCTTGTTGTGATCTCATCTACCGTAGCTTGAACAAGTGATCACAAACATTTTTTGACATTCTTTGCTCGTGATCTAATCATTTGCCATTCCTCCACGACAATGGGTCCTGGTCCTTGCTAGTTACTACACCATGGTTCTCATCAAGTTGTGAGCCTAATAAAATGAGTAATTAAAAAATTGTTATTTTTGACTAAAATTTTGATCAACTTTTTAATCGAACCAAATATTTATGTTTAATTATTATACATTTGGAACAAGTATTATGTCATATTTATATATATATTTTATTTAAAATATATGAAAAATAGATAAGAACATGTTTGAATCCCATTTTTTGTTTATAAAAATGTATTTTGAAACAATATTTTGATGATGAATGCGTGGTTAAAAAATAAATATTATTTTTTAAAAAAATACGTAGTTAAAAATAAAAGAGAGAAAAATATATTTTAAAAATAATGAGATCAAAAAATTTATGTACTTTTAATGAATTTTTTTAACCGGAAATTGTAAAATAGACCATTCTAATTAATGAAACACTAATGATAGGATACGGCACCAAAGGTAACTGAAGAGGGTAATTAAACGTGATAAGGACGTTTCCTTTTTAAACTACTTATTAACAGTAACACAAGTGGAAACAAACAAGGCCTTATCGGAATCCAGATTTATAAAGCAAGTGGTCCCATCTTAATTAAGGCCATATTTTTTTCGTTCTTCTACTATTTTCAACCACATATTTTTTAATAAAATAATATTTTCCATCAAATCAAATATTTTTCATTCTTTTTTAATCACATATTCCATCAACATTAAAAATGCATTCTTACTTTCAAAATAGGCTAAGAGCTTGTTTGGGACGAATTAAAATCCAATTAAAATTGAAAATATAGCCGTTATTGGGTTCCACTCGTCTAATAAAAATCAACTTCAACAATTATATTTTCAATTTTAATCTAATTTTAATACTTCCAAACTCTAACTAAACCCTAGATTTATGGAATTAAAAATGGCAGATTGTCTCTCATCTTCACTGCTTGGCTGACTCCCTCAATGGCTTACCTTTTCAGACTTTTTTCTTTTCCATAAGCATTACCTGAAAAAAAGAATATAAAAGCCTAGGGTTTCTACTTTTCCCACATTATCCAGACGTCAATTTTCCTCAACATTTAGCTTAGAAATTAGCTCGGGTTTTGGTGTTGTTGATCTGACTTTCTTTCCGCGTTACAATTTTGTATGTTCTGGGGTTTTTTATGGGTCTTGTCAGCTGTTTGAAGTTGGGATTTTGAAGGGAGATTCTTCTAGGGGAGATTATTGGGGTCAAAAAAGTTGAAAATGATGTTCTATTATTTATGGAGTTTGCTGTTCTGGAAACGTACATGTGAATTGTCAGTTCTACATTATTTTCCCAACTGTGGAGTTCAGTTCATCAATTGCTAGCTTTAGCTGAGTCCACACGAATTTTCTGGATCTTTCCGCACATGTTATATGCCATTTGCTTGCCCGGAATCTGTGAATTCATTAACTGGGATTGTTACTCGTGGCTCTAGATGGTGGAAATTAAGTTAGATCAAAATCTTGCTTTATAAGTATGGAACTTAGTGACGTAGCATTATTCTTTTGGAGATATGGACTTATCCCATCTCTGGTTAAAGGTTATCAATAGCAGAATTTAGGGAATTTTGATGAAATATTGATTTTTGTTAGCCTATATGAATTTTTGTTGTAGCTGATTGGTGATCAGGATTCTGAAGGGTTATTTAAGTGATGGAGGATATTGGGTTGTTCAATCAAGGATGGAAATGGTTGCAATCTAAGGATTGTTACTGCGAAGCAAGTACAACTGCGAGCTGTTTGAGGGACAAGATGGGGATATTTATGGAGCGTCATTGGCCCATGGTTTGCTGTGGCTGTGCAAGATTTGGGAGAGGTCTGCTGTTTTTGTTGGTTTACTGGAAGAATTGTTTTGTTACAGGCTTCCAGTCGTTTATTGGGCTGGGTTCGGCATCTCTGCTTGTCATTGTGTGGAGTTTCTTTCTCAGCTTAACATCAATGTCGTGTATTCTGTATGTGGTTCTTAGTATGGTATGCCTTTGAGTCTTTCCGATTCTTGTCTTGGAGCTTTTTTTTCTGGCTTTGTTACTTATTTCCTATCTCTGCTATTTTAAAACATCAGGATCTACTTTTTATTATATGATTTTGCCTAGACTTGATTAGTCTTAATTTTTGTTCTCTGGTTCCTGCATTTGACAAAGTCCATGTCGCAACCACTGTATCATAGTTTTTGGATCTAAGTTGAAGTTAATTGATGTGATACAGAGAGAAAGATTCCAAGAAACGTCACCTGTGATATAATTTCAATAGTTAATTTGGTAGATAAATTGAAGAAAACCAAAAATAAGATCCTTTAGGTGCAATGATTATAAAAGGTAGTGATAATCTTTCCATATGAAATAACTAGTGTTGGTTCAACTTAAAAGTCAATGGAAGCTTTTTTATAATTTGTTTAATAAGTTGTTATTCGTGCTTCACAATACTGCTTCTGCTATTACCACAAGTTCAAAATAATGGTATCTGCAGCCATCTTGGAGTGGGACAATTCCATATTGGAGATGGCATAAATGGTTTGTTTTGGCTGATGTGCTCTTAAGAGGACCCTATATTAATTAAGGCAAATAAGATTGTTAACATGTCATACAACATGTAAATGGCATGCACTGGTGCCACTATATGTCTTCCACTAATCTAAATGAAACAGATAATGAGTCCAATATGATCCTAGCGAACTTTCCCAAATTAAAACAGAAACTAACTCGCGTATGAGTATCTCCTTTGTTGAACAAAGAAAACAGTTTGCATACTGCATTATCCCTTTCTCACCTCGTTGAAGTAATAACCTATAGCACTTAGAGCATGTTTGAGCCCCATTTTTTTTGCATAAAATGGATTTTGGAATAGTGTTTTGATAGAGAATGTGATAAAAATAAGGAATTTTTTTGGAATTGCATGTAATATTATTTTATTGAAAAATGTGTAGTTGAGAATAAGAGAGAGAAAAATGTATATTGAAAATAATGGGGATCATAAAAGCTCTTAGTTTAAGCTGTTTTAGATGATGCTGGTTTCATCAATTTGTTATATTGTTCATTCTAGATGTCGGATAGTTTTTTTCCTAGAACACCCCCTATGACAAGCTCCAGATAGCCAATATATTGGCTGGTGCATTGCTGATAGACCATGCATTTGTATTGTATAGCCGATTTCAAATTGGATACTATAAATTCTTTTGATGAGACTTGTCCAATCATTACGATTGCATGGCGTGATTTATTCTTATACTTCAATATGATCATTTCTTTTAGATGTTGGGTTCTGCATTCCTTTTTTATGTTAGCGTGAATGTTATTTGCTGGAGAATTACATCCTATATTTGTAATAATTTTCAAACGAATGGACTCCTGCTGAAGTTACTATGAACTGTCTCTTTTAACAGTTTGAGAATCATTCTCATAGTTCCATGTATTTTTCCAGGGAGCTGCAGGGGTTGCAGTTAAGTACTTAGGCTACAGTCCTGGAATTTTTATTGTGGGACTCTTTTCCATTCTAGTTTTATGGATGTATGCTAACTTCTGGATAATGGGTACATTATTCATACTTGGAGGTAAATTGTGGTTCTCTTCTTTCAAATTAATATGCTTGCACTTTTCGCATTTTTGGTTTACATAACAAACGTTATCTTATCCAAAGGATTTCATCAATGCATGAGGATAAAAGGATAAAAGTTTAGGATTTTTGGTGAATGTCGGCATCATTCACCTACTCATCTTCTTACTTCTATTTCAGGCTTCTAAGAAACAAGTTTTACTTAAACCCTGAATGTTTATCTTGCGTTTCATGTTCACACCATTGTCTTTCTGTAAACAGGTTACTTATTTTCCTTGAATCATGCACAGTTGGTGGTTTTGATGGCAACCATATATGCATTATATTATGTCAAAGTTCAAGTTGGATGGCTTGGAGTTTTCCTCTCAATTAATCTTGCATTCCTGTCAAATGATGTACTGTGCTGCTTGATCGAGTGGCATGATAGTTTGAGTGAACGCACCACCTGTGAAGAGCGTAAAGAATCTGACCCATTCACAGTAAATTTCTCCACCGATTATGAATATTCAACGAGTATTGATGAAGAAGAGAAGTTGCACTCCTGTAAATCATCCAGCAAACCTGCTAATACTTCGTCTTTTGTTGAAAAACTTGAGAGCGCTGCTGCTAAGCAAGTGGTCAAAGAAGAGGGGTATTCAGTTAGTGAGATGAAGCGGATTTTAAGCAGTGCTGATCACTATGAAGCATTGGGATTTCCCCGTCACAAGAAAGTTGATGTTATGTTGCTGAAAAAGGAGTACCGGAAAAAGGTACGCTTAGTTTGACTCTGCCTCAATAACTGTTAATCTTGCCTTTGCTTGCATATACTGCATCTTGACCACCAAAATCCACTAATTTTGATTCGAGTAATGCTATTTATCATCACGATGATAGAATATCGGTGATATGATAATCCATTATTCATCACATTTATCTCTCTCGCCTCCCCCTTCTCTCTCTCGTAAAAATATTGAATTGCTCAATCCCATTATTCCATATAGACTGTCACATCATAGATGTTCCATCATCATAATGATGAATATCCTTATTCTTTTGACTCTGCTCACAGTAACTATTAATCTTGCCTTCGCTTGTGTATTCTGCACGTCGGCCACAAAAATCTCTAGGTGTCTTTTCCAAAATTGGGGGCTAAGATAGTAGTATTTGATGTGATGCAATAGGCAACTGCTAATTTTTACTTCGGCAAAGAAATGAAATGGTAAAATAAATAGAGAGACAAGTCCCAACTCATCTACTTCACTAAATGTTTAAAAAATTGAGGTCATATAAGTCCATATTTAATAAGTTACGCTGCAAGTTAATCTATCTCCATTTTAGTTTTGGTGCAAAGGTAAAAAATCTTACTCAAGAAAATTATTACCTGCAGTTCAAACATCAATCTTCCTCTTGTTCTCAGTGTCTATAAGCGAGGTACAATAAACAAGATATAGGGTCATTTGAAATTGTTTTTGTTGCTTATTTAGTGAATAAATTGATCCATGCGTCTGGAAGTGCATGAACTCTCGAATGTAAGATTAGTTGTGGCCAAGTTACTACATTCTAGCATGAAATCGCTGCCATCATCTAATTTAAACTTTATAGGCAAGCATGCTTGTTTATTAAGGAAGCCAGAGTTGTTTAGTTATGCTTACACAGGTTAGTATAGCTATTCCTTGTAGCTCTGTTATTATTTTGATTGGTTCAAAGCTATTATACATTTTAAGTAAGTTTGTGATAAAGCTCAAATTCGTCCAGATTTTAAGGTGACTGAATTAGGGAAAGTTATATCTCTTCTTTTTTGTGTATGTGGCTCAGTGCACAAAATGTTTACTTTTCTTTTCCTTCTATATATATATTTCATTGATTGAGCATGTAATAAATCATTCAACCTAAATTCTAAGTTTTCCCTAATCCATTATACTTCTTCTTGGACCTATAAAGATATATTCAATGGTGTGTATACGTTGAACTGGAAATAGTGTAGTCAAATTTCTATTGTTGAAGACTTGCAAGTTGTTGTGTGTGGTTACCAATATTGTCGTGAGTTATGATGTAAGCTGCCGGGTCTTCTGTTTAGTAGACTTAGTTTTTGCATATTTTATTTAGGCCATGCTTGTGCATCCTGACAAAAACATGGGAAGTCCACTGGCAAGTGAGTCCTTTAAGAAACTTCAATGCGCATACGAGGTATCTGTCAATATTCCAATATTTTAAATTTTTTAGCTATTTCTTAAATGTCTACGGTGGGAGCTGAGGCTCTGGTGTTCAATTTCCACTTACATAGGCATCAATGCCCAGGTTCTTTCTGACACGGTGAAGAAAATGGACTATGATGAGAAACTCAGAAAGGAAGAATCTAAGAGTGTAATGCAGAAATCACCTAGCACTTCACGTCAGGTAGAATTATATGGTTGGGCTATCTTAGCTCAAATTGTCTGTAAGTCCATTTTTTGCAGTATTCTTACGAGGAATGAAGTTTTTAACTACCGTTAATGTGAATCTAGATTAGCATGTTTTGGAGCAACCAAATTCGATAATTTTCACATCAGATGTAATTGTGGAATTTCATAACAATTTGTTGTTAAGAATGTGGACGATCATTCTTATCCTCATGATCATATATTGCAAATGTTTCAAGTATATGTAAGATGTGCAACTAAATAAGACGAGAGTTTATAATTGTCTTCACTAAAAGTAGTTTTTAAACACATTCAGATTTTTTAAAATGACATTTGACAATCCATATTTTCATGAATGAGCCTTTAAAATTTGCTTGTTGGCTGGGTGTACATATAAATTACATTAACTTTGCTTCATATATTCAAATATATAACTTGCTTAGAAGATTGATGTCTGTACTCCATGATGAGCAGGATACTACTGATTTTTTTTCTGAGGAGTCGAGGTGCATACAATGCACAAAGTGTGGCAATTCACATGTCTGGGTCTGCACCAATAGGAAAAAGGACAAAGCAAGATGGTGTCAGGTTAGGCTTATTTCTTTGAAGTGGTAAAAATGTCTTAGCTTGTGTGGTCTGTGTATACTGATTGATGACATTTCTTGGGTAGGATTGTTGTCAATATCATCAAGCCAGAGATGGTGATGGATGGGTTGAGTACAAAGGATCAATAGTGTTTGATCAATCTGAAGAGGTATACTTAATTCACAGAACTGGATGGTTTCATTGCTTTTGAAGTGTTTGAAGTTGAAATAATTTTTTCGAATGCCATGTTAATATTCGGATTTAATTACACTCAACATGTTTGTTAAGGGATATGTATCCCACATCGATAAATGATATTGACACAGACCAATTAATAAAGATCTTGGGCTACTCCTCTTAATAAGGTTGACCTTTTAAGATGGACCCCCAAATCTTAATATGGTATCAGAGCCCAATATGCTCCAACGAGCTATTCGATCCCGTTAAGACNCACATCGATAAATGATGTTGACACAGACCAATTAATAAAAATTTTAGGATACTCCTCTTAACAAGGTTGACCTTTTAAGATGGAACCCCAAATCTTAAGGATGTTAAATTTACTTTAACTATTCCAGATTCGTGAGCGTTGCTTGTGAGGAATTTATAGTACTATTAGTAGTCACCGAGTCAGTTAGGAGCTTTGTGGCTTATGGACTTTGGAGCTATCTATGCCTATTCGTCTTATATGACCATGGTTCAGCCCACACTTTCTTACTTTATATTATACTCAACATCTTTGTTGTAAAGATTTAAAGAAGTATGCTTTCCTATCGCTAAAGTATACTTTTGACTACAAGCTTCCTCATAACACCAAAAATTTTATCCTACCACCCAGTGTTTCCATAAACACTCTCTCTCTCTCTCTCTCTCTCTCTCTCTCTCTCTCTCTCTCACGCAATGATATGTATGATTTTGTGAGAAAGATGGAGATGATGTATAAAAAACTATTAGTGAGGACATAAGATTTCTGCATAATTATTCAACCCTGTTGCGTCCCTATCCATTTGTTTTTGCCAAAAAATCATAACACTTCGTGTAGGAAGCCAATATCATATCATGTACTATACTCTAGTTCTTTAACAATCTTCAGAGTTTTCGCATTTGAGTTAGCTTGCAAGACTGAAGTGTTTGATTTCATCTCTTTTAAGATGTTACAAAAAGAGCTAAGTAGTTTGTAAGCAAGTGGAACTACCTATTATGTAATGTTTGAATGCTGTTTTTATAGATTTGAATGAGCCTTTGATGTTCATTTTACTAGTTTTTCTTTTTCTACGCTTTAGTTAAAAAAATGCTATTGGTTTCCATGCAATCTCACCATTCATTATATAGTACACTGAAGAGTTGTAAGTTTGCTGTTTCACGCAATCACTGTAGTCTGTTATGGCAAATATTGACCTCTCATGCAATTTATGCCATTACTGCTTCTGAAAACTTTCATATATTTTTCTGCCTATTATTGTTTTAAGTGATTATCCACTTTTTCTTATCTTCTTCCTGCTAAAATTATATTATGTACCTTGCATTTAGGTGGAAATACCACGCGCTTTTGTCTGCGCAGAAAGCAAAATCTTTGATGTATCAGAATGGGCTATATGTCAGGTCAGCATGCAACTTTTGCATACATTTGCGTGCCCATATCGTATACATGGTATAACGCATTATAAAAGATATTATCTACAATGAAAATTCTCAGATTTGGCTTTGCTTCTCTCCTTTTCTTTTTCTCATTGCATTGCCAACCTTGGCAACAAGAATGCTATTACATCATGTTTGGCGGGGATGATTGAATAGTACTGGATAGTATTAAGGAACAAAAAGAAAAGCTAAAATCTTGTTCATTACTGTCCAAAAGGCATGTCCATTCTAGTACTGGGGATTCTGATAAACAAATCTCGGAAGATGTTTGAGTACTAATTGGGCAGCAAAATAATCATAAGCATCCCCGTCCAGTTGAGAAATATCTAGACATGTGTCCATTGAAACAAAATTTTAAAAGCAAAAGGAGACGAAATGGGTTGGAGAAACCTTACACTCGATTTTATAATCATGACATAATCAAAGTCTTCTCACAAAGGGCAGTATAATTTCCTTCAAAGGATATCACAAATCAACCCAAACTTTAACATGCTTAAACTCATAAAGTCATGGATTTGCATATCTTGCATGTAAGGTATGGCAATAAAGATTCACTTACATAATTGACCGTTACTTTCACTAAGAATCTCAAAGGTTATAGGCATACCTCACATAAAGATATATATATATATATAT